TGTAAAAAGATTTGACCAGCCTGCGATTCACAGAATGGGCATTTACAAAAATAAAAAAAAAAGGTGGAACCTTAGAGTCTTCCTTCAGGTTCATCTTGGAGAATCAGCACCCTGAATGTTTGCATCTTTGCTCCTCTAATATTCGCAAGGATGATTTGGGTCTTGAGTGTTGCGCGATAATCAGAAAAACAAATAATTTGATACTAAAATTGATTTCCATGTTTTTCTTTCGGAAAAGCCGAAGATACTCAATAACGTGAAGTAGAAATCCTGCTTGCAAGTAATGTAATGAAAGATTCAGCAAGCTATGGACTGATAACAGCTTAATTCTTTACTGAAATGACTAAGTAGTCTTAAAATACAGGAATGTACCAGCATATTCTAACAAAATTGTGATTTATTTATTTTTTTAGTCTCAAAAGTCAGTATTAATCTTGAGAGAAAGCCCCCTGGCTCAAAGCTTGGAATGCATCCATCAGAAAGGGTTGGAAACAATTCTGGGTTCATGCAGAGACTTTCACACTTGTATAAACAGAGCTCAAAAACTCAGCACTCAGATACCCAGTCTGCTCAATTGTGCATTTTAGATTGATGAACTTCTCTTGCCAGTATTTAAACTTCCAAAATGCAACTGTGACATCCATCTCTTTGAACCATGGGTTGATCTCCAAGCTATGTGGATATGCTGGCTCATTCTGACTGAAGGCGCAGAAGACCCAGAGTTTTAGGTGATATATTAAATTTTTAATTGATATATTAAAAGAGTAGACCTGATCCTAGTCTGCTCTTGTTACAGCACATATTCCTTATGTAGTTTTTTTTCCTTCTGTGGTACAGACAATCCACCGTTTAAAAAAAGACATCGGTTTTTGTCCCTGTCCAGGGTTTTTTTTCATAGGTCCCAAGAGCTACCTGCTTGTTTTTTCCCCACAGTGAAGTGTATCCTGTTACTTGGAAATGGAACTCCTTATGAGTAAGTGAAGCTTTTAAGGACAACTAGTACTTGTTAGGAAGAGCAGATGGGTCTGGGGGAAGATGATCTCATTCAAGATGGTTGTTTTTAATGCAGTAAATTACACCAGGAAGCCACCGTTCCAAAGTCTTTCTAAAGCAGGGATTCCAGCCTTGGCTACTTTAAGACCAATGGACTTCAGCTACCAGAATTCCCCAGCCAGCATTGTTAGGGAACTGAATTCTCGGAGTTGAGGTCCATCGGTCTTAAAAGTTGGACACCTGTTCTAAAGATTGTCAGGAAGAGGACAGGGAGATCCTTCTGATATTTTGTGAGAACCTTGCAGAACTTGAACAGAAATAGTTCCCAGAATGTTTTGTTTTGCCTCCCTAGCAAAAAATTTAAAAATCCAAATGGAACTAGGAACTGCAACTACAGCGTAAGAGAACTGCAGCGTCTTCCATTCAATCTCTCTCTCTCTCTTGTGGTTTCTCTGTCAGGGAGAGGAAATATCTACTGAAGGGGTGTGGTCCTTTCTACAGTACTGCAGAGTTAGTGATGGCGGGGACAACAGCTCAAAACGCTAAGGAGCTTGTAACTGCTGGCTCATCTCATGCCTTTTGAGAAGCACACCCTTGTTTTTTTTTTGTTTGTTTTTGTTTGCAGCCAAACAGTAGTTTATGTAAACTGGGTTTTGTGGCATCCAATTTTATGGGTTAAAGCATCCATTAGTCTACCAGTTTTATATTTGCAATATATTTGCTGGTTTTAAGGTGCCATGGGACTCCTTTCCTACTCAGCCTTTCTGTTCTAAGAGCCAGCTTTGATCAATTCTCAGTTGGGGTGTCCTTAAAGTCGAACTGGCACAGTGGCGCAGGAGGGGGAAGCGTTTGTTACAAGAGAATACGATGGAACTGGCTTAGTCATTGTTGTCTTAATATTGTTGACAATACTGTAAAGTTTCTTTTTTTTAAAAAAAATGGGATTTCTGTTTTAGCAGTTGCTTTTTTGTTGTTGTTCCCTCCTTTTTCAAGATAAAAAGATATTTACACTTGTGGAGAGCTTGTAAGAAAAAAGCTGTTTCTTTTAATTCCTTCTCCTTTGATGAATGATCTATAGGTAATTAAGGTTGTGAATTTTTTATTTTTATTTTTGCCTTGTTTTTAATTAATGTTTTGTCATTCAGATAGGATGTGTGGTGATGATTAAATGGCAAACACAGACAAAATGATTTTTTTTTCTTGTGCAATTAACAAAGCTACTGGCAAAAGGAAATAAAACTTTTCTTGGTAACACAATGCTATTTGTTGCTCTAAAGTATTCTTCTTTCCTAACTGCAAGAATTAGAATATGAATCTCCCACTCCCAAAACACAAAAATGGTAATAGGTGCATTAGGCAAGAGTATAAATTTAAATTGTTGGGACTATCATTTGTGTATAACTTCAAGGGTAAGGGAATGGAGAAAGTTTAGAAAGGATGAATGTCATTAATAAAAGTTGAAAATATACTGCAAAATTTAAAATTTGATGGTGAGACTGGAGGGTGTACAGAGATTTGTAAAACCAACTCCTGTTTAATCATCAGCGTTTACAACATACAGTTTCCTTTGCAATGACAACAATGTAGTTTATTTCAGCAGTATTGTTTGAAATATTAGGAAAAAACAGGGCTAAACTCTTTAACATTTGAAATGAGTTGGGAAGAATTGAACTGTTTGTTTATTTTGCAGGGTGGATAGGAAGAGTTACAGAATTGACCTGTTGACCTTGTTCTTTGTTCAAGTGGTTATATTAGAACAAAAATGAGAAAAAAGTATCTCCAGTATTTATGTATTTATTTATAAACATTAGAAAATAAAATCATTTGCTTATTAAATAATTAGCTATGTTGAATAATAGTGCTTTTCTCTATTTTGTCATTTTGTTCTTGAGCCAACACACAAATTAAAAGTGGAGGTAATTGGCTTACGATTGGTTCATGATTATTCAGACTTTGCTTTGCAAATGTGTATGCTTTTAAACGAAGTGATATTTGAAACAACTTTGAAGGAAAATACTGTCTTCATAATACAAAAGATACTAAGAGGATGGAAGGTAAAAATAGTGGTAGGTGGGTTTTTTCTGTTCACGAATCTCATTTAGAAGATAAAATATTGACTAACCTTGTTAAAATAGGACCCAAAAGATAATCCTGTGTATATATAAATGTGCTAATATAAAATAAAAATGAGGAAGCTTGACATTGCAGACATAGTTCTTTAAAGAATAACAACTTATAAAGAAGGAAAAGCAAAACACTATTTTGCTCTGAAAAACTTACATCAAAGATTTGTTTATTATTTGTTTTTACTGTGCTATGCTTCAAGGATCCTAAGCGAAATTAACATAGGAACAATACAGGTAGTCCTCATTTTGCGACCCAAAATTGAGCCCCAAATTTTTATTGCTAAGTGAGAAATTCATTACATAAGTTTTGCCCCGTTTTATGACTTCTTGCCACGGTTGTTAAATGAATAGCTTCAGTTGTTAAGTTAGTAACACGGTTAAGTGAATCTGGCTTCCCCATGGACTTTTGTCAGAAGGTCACAAAAGGGGATCATGTGACCTTGGGAGACTACAACCGTCATAAATATGAACCTGTTGCCAAGCATCCAAATTTTGATTATGGGGATGCTGCAAACGATCATAAGGGAGAAAGATGCTCACAAGCCCCCTTTTTTTTCAGTGTCCTTATATCTTCAAATGGTCACTAAGTGAACTGTTAATAGGTTGAATACACCTATATTTGCATACCATGCCAGTAAAACAGAAGTGGATGTAAGAAATGGACATCCCTATTTGATCTATGCTGGACTCCTTTCAAAAGGGGATGAAGCCACAATTGAACCCAGTTTCAGAGTTAAAGCAGCAAAATTAAAAAAAAACCCTCACAGGACGGGGAGACCCCAGCAGCTGGGCCAGCCGGTTCCCCAATGTTGCACACACACCCCAGTCTAGGGAAGAGGAGATAGGATAGCAGGTCTTCCAATATTTGAGGGGCTGCCATAGAGAGAAAGGGGTCAAGCTACTTTCCAAGGCACCCGAAGGCCAGACAAGGAATAATGAGAGATTCAACCTGGACATAAGGAGAAACTTTCTGCCGGTGAGAACCATCAACCCATGGAACAGAAGTTGCCTTTGGAACTTCATCACTGGAGGCTTTCGAGAAGAGACTGGACTGCCATCAGTTGGACATGGGGTGTCGGGTTAACAGATTGACAAGAGTTAGAAGGGACCTTAGAGGTCATCTAGTCCAACCCCCCCCCCCCCCCCAAAGGCAGGAGACCCTATACCAGGGCTTTTCAAACTTAACAGCTTTAAGACTTAGACTTCAACTTCATGACTCCTCCAGTCATGTTAGCTCAGGAATTCTGGGAATTGAAATCCACAAGTCTTAAACTTGCCAAGTTTAAAGACCCTTGCCCTACACCATTCTGCTGGGGCGGGGGGGGGGGGTGTTGGACTAGATGACGTCCAAGGTCCCTTCCAGCTCTGTTAATCTGTTAACATCCCCCCTCCAGCCATTGCGGCGGATGCAATTTGGGAGAAAGGCGACCAGGACTAATTGATGTTTGCCAGCAACCTCCTTTTTTCCCCCGGCTGCCGCAGAGCATCTACAGTTGGGGAGGTTGGTGGCGGGGGAGGCATAGGACATTCCTCCCCCCCCACCCCCGAATGCAATGGGGCGCCGGGAGTTTTCCAAGCCCCCGGAGGCGGAGAGCCCCTCGCAGGCTTGGAAAAACCCGGCGCCCCGTTGCATTCGGGGGTGATACTGGTCCTCAAACCGCCCCCTCCGCTCCGCAGCCTTGGCCAGCGCTGAAAAGCTTGAGCGGTCAGGCGGGATGGGGGGGAGGAGCCTCAGAGGTATCTGGGCGGGCCCAGGGAGCGACGCGCGTCCAATGAGAGCGCCCGCGTCGGCGGCGCTCGCCCAATGAGGAGCGCGAAGGGGCGGGAAGCCAGCCAACGCCTCGGCGCTGTGGAATCCGCGGTGTTTCTCTCGCTGGCCCGACGGCGACGGGGATGAGGATGGCTGCCCTGGCGAGCCCGGCCGAGCGGGCCGTCTTGGTAAGCTTCCGAGCTGCCGAATCCAATGACGGAGATGTCCGTGTGCGTGTGTTTGGGTGGGGGTGGGGGGGCGCGGAGAAAGGAGGGATTTGAGAGAGGGCGTGACGTCATTGAAAGAGTGGGGGCGGGCGACGTCACTGCCCTTCGCGTGACGTTACCGGGCGACGTCGCTGCCCTTCGCGTGACGTCATCGGCCGAGGTTCATGGCGCTTGTTTCTTTCGCACTTTGGGGGTGGGGGAGGAGGGGACAGGAGGGGCGTCGTCGCTTGCAGGAATGGCCCTTTGAGGTCTCCCTGACAACCCTGCGAGGTAGGCCGAAGGTGGAAGCCGGGTTGGCTCGGATCTGGGCTGGTTGCACGAGCCAGGGTTGCTTTGGTGTGTGTGGGTGGGGAGGGGGGGGTGTTTTGCAACCGGGGAGGGGGTTACAATTCAGCCCTGGATTTGGGTCCAGAGTACCAACCCTATTTTAAAGCAATGGGGTGGGAATCTGGGCTGCTGACCACCACCAGGCAGCAGAGCTCTCCCCCGCTCCTTCGGGTGACCCTGGGCTGCCCCCTCTGGCTCCTCTGCAGCTTTGCAGCCCCAAATCCAGAGCTGTCCCAATGCAATACCAGGCGTAGTCGTATTGTGAGTGGCAGTCCTCGACTTACAGCCACAGTCGAGCCCGGCGTTTCTGTTGCTAAGTGAAACATTTAAGTGAGTTTTGCCCCCATTTGACGACCCGCCTTGCCACAGTTAAGTGAATCGCCACAGTTTCTAAGTGTGTCACGTGGTCGCTAAGTAAATCTGGCTTCCCTGTTGACTTTTGCTCGTCAGAAAGTCGCAAAAGAGGATCATGTGACCCCGGGACACTGCAACCGTCATAAATAGGAGTTAGTTGCCAAGCATCCAAATTTTAACCATATGACAAGGGAGGGGGATGCTGCAATGGTCATAAGTGTGAAAAATGTCCATGAGTCGCTTTTTTCACTAAGTTCACTAAGTGAACTGTTGTAAGCCGAGCACAACCTGTAGTTGGATTTTCTAACTGTTGCTGGATTGTTTTTTAATCCAGCCTTTCTAGTTATAAGAGGTATCTAGTTCTAGGGGGTGAATGGGACTAATACCCCTGCCTCCTATTTATTTATTCTTTCTATTTATGTAGCCGCCCACTTCCCAAACCTGACTGGAAAGCATGCACTTCAAAAAAAGAGCTTTAAAACAGTCCTTAATGGCTTTTTTTTTTAAAAAAAAAGCAACAAGAAAGGAAGCATCTATGATATTAGCAACGGTGCAACGTTTGCAACAGTTCTCCAGTTCCTGGTTATTATCTCCAAGTCTGTTGACAGGATCACATTTTTAGCAAAGCTTGAGCTGTATTGAGGCTGGCCAAGGATGGGGCCCAGCCTCCTTCTCCCCCCAACAAAAACCCTGTGAGGTAGGCTGGGTTGGGAGAAGGGTGGGAGGGCTGACCCAAAATCACCCATCCAGCTTTCATGCCTGAAGTGGGATTAAAACTCACAGCCTCCTGGTTTCCAGGCCAGCCCCTTAACCCCTACACCACAGCAGCTCGCCTTCCTCAAAAGGGGAACTCTGTACCTCACAATACCAGGCCTTCCCCCCACCCACCCCCCAGGCCTTGAAATAACTCCCCCTAAACTCATTTGTCAGTTCTGGTTTTGGGCGGTTGCAAGCATCAGCCAGGGATGGATCATGCAGCCAGCCGTTCCCCAGGGATTGCAGAAGATAAATATTGCACAATATCTTCCTTTTTCTCCATCTTCCCCCATCCCATCCTTCCCCCAACTGCCCACCTAGTGCTTTTTCATCCTTTGGGGCTGAGGGTGTCCTTTCTGCAGTCTGCTGCTGGTCACTGTGGGGAAAATATATGGGGCGTGGAAAGGGAAGAAGATGACTCAATGGAAGTGGGTGGATATAGAGCAGAATAGAATAGAGAATAGAGTAGAATAAGAATAGGAATGGAATAGAATGGAATGGAATAGAATTCTTTGTTGGCCAAGTGTGATTGGACACGCAAGGAATTTGTCTTCAGCGCATAAGCTCTCAGTGTACATAAAAGTTATAAGTGATAAATCATGTCAGAGCATTTGTAGCGTGACTACTATTATGAGACAATCCAGGAGCAAAACACAGCACACAGAGACTTCAACATTCAACAGTGGTTTATATACAAGGCATACACAGAAATATACGTGGTAGTCAAATACTTGACAAGCAGTCAATCTTCTTAACTCTTACACTGAGAACTCTGCAATGGAGATAGGACACAAGGAGAGAGAACACACCCTCTAATGGCTGCCTTTATATAGACTCCTCTTAAAGATGTAAAGCTTCTGTGGACCCATTCTTCCTCTTAAAAGGGCAGTATCCATGCTATGCTGCTTAATCCTTATTGCATCAGTCTTACATTACATCAGTCTTACATTGCATCAGCCTTATAGCAACTGGTCAGCCCTTAAAACTCAATACCCTTAACAAATCATGATCATAGTCATCATGAAAATTTATTCATCATAAACCATAAGATGCAACGCTTAGTGATAGTCATAGGATATTAAATAAGCATTCAACCTAAGTCGTACTAGGAAACTAAAGCAATATAAATTATAAAGATACAAGCAACAAAGTTATAGTCATAAGTACAAAAAGGAGATAGGTTACAGGAAAGATAAGAAGAATATTAATACAGTCTTACTAAATAGTTTGACAGTGTTGTGGGAATTAGTTGTTTAGCTTAGTGATGGCATGGGAGAGAAAACTGTTTTTGTGTCTAGTTGTTCTGGTATTACACTGAAGTTATATAGAGCTCTAAATTATAGACGCTAATATAAAGAGCCTTCTATTCAGTACATCAAATGACTGATTCAACAGCCCTAAAGGAGCTTCTTGGATGAGAAGCGAAACGTCTTCAAAGAAAAACCAGAAAGTCCCGGTTGCCTCTTGAGAAAAAAACACCTTTGGGACAACTGTGACCCATAGATTCATTCAACAGAATCTCCATAGATTGATTCAGCGGAGATCTCAGGACTGGCCAGTGTTGGATTCAGCAGCGGAATCTTCAGTTTGATGGATGTCACCCTGTGTAGGATAAAACATCCCATATATAGGAGAAGCCTGGCTTAATTTCTCTTTTTTTTATTTCTTTCCGGTGGCAAACTCTAGTCGATCGTTTGCAGCTTTTACCTTCAAGTTATACGGAGCTCTAAATTATAGGTCCTAATATAGTGGACCATCTATTCAGTACATGAAATTGGGCCTAATATACAGAGAGCCCTCAACTTAACAACAGTTCATTTACTGACCGTTCAAAGCACTGAAAAAAAGTGACTGTTTATGACCATTTTATACATTTATGACCATTGAGGTCATGTGATCAAAATTTAGGTGCTTGGCCATGACTCATATTTATGAAGGTTGCAGTGCCTTGGGGGGGGGTGTGTGTGTCATGTGATCAGCTTCCAAAACCACCTGACAAGCAATGGGGAAGCCAGATTCATTTAGCAACCATGTTACTAACTTGAACAACTTCAGTGATTTCACTTAATGTGGCGAATAAGGTTGTTAAACGGGACCAAACTCAAACCAACATTTCACTATGCAACAGAAATGCTGGGCTCAATTGTGGTCGTAAGTCGAGGAATACCTGTAGCTCAATATACACAAGTATATGAGCCTGGTATGCCTGAATACAGAGGCTCTAAATTATAGAGCCATTTATTTGGTATACGCATTGCATTTTTATTTGAGTTTCCCTTATGCCGGGTGTCAGCAACCCATGGCTCTGGAGCCGCATGCGGCTCTTTGGGCCCTCTGCTGTGGCTTCCTGTTGGGTGATCCCACCACTGGCTGGCCCCGCCCCTTGCCTTCCCCTCCCAGTCCTTGCCTGGCCTGAGAAGGTAAAACACAAAAAAACAGAAATGAGAGGGATGGGGAGAGAGAGAGAAAGAGAGATCCATTTCCCACAGGAAACACCAGGAGCCACAAAACCTGGGTAGGCGTGGTGGTGGTGGGTCATGTGACTGGGTGCTAAGGCATATGACTATAATTTTTATCCAAGCTCATCTTCGGTCTAAGAACAGCAGGCTAGTATAATTAAAGCAAAAGCTATAGAAAATGACTTTTCTGTTTGCAGGCTACGCCAGTATACAGTAAAATATAATTAGGAGAGGTCTTCCGTGATGTTAAATAGGGGTAGCCCAACTTAACATTGTTTTGGGGTGTTTTTTTTTTGCCCAAATCACTCAAGGCATCTTCTAACAAATGTTCTTTGTGTTCTCTTGCCGACCTCGTTCCTGTTTGAGAATAGACAATGAAAGTACAGTTCACTCTTGTTGTATTTGGACAGAAAGTCCTTTTTTCCTACCGATTAGGAGAGGAGCTGCTAAAATTGGCCAGAAGCTTTTGAACAGCGAATTATTTGCTGAAATAATTCATACGGCGAGATAATAGTTAAAGAATGTTGAAGAATTTACGAGGAAAATATTTTTCCCCTAAGGCAACACAAAAGGATTTGTTGTTTTCATTTTCCTTTAAAAAAAAATAATAATCCTGGATTTTTATTTTATTTTATTTTTTTCATTTCCATTTTGGGATTTTTTGCAAGATTTTTGTCTGGGTGTAAATCAGGCCTGAATCTGCCTTTCTTACAAAAAAAAAAAAAAAAAGCAGGTTCTATCCTAAGGAGATAATTCCAAATACCTCACTGGTGGGTTATGGTTACAGATAATCCCAGACTTAAGACCGGAATTGAGCCCGGAATTACAATCATAAATTGTGCCAGTCGTTAAGTGAGTCACCAAGAGACCACACCCAATCTTATGAGGTTTTTTTTTTTAAACCGTGCCATTAAGCGAATCACTATGGTCATTACGTGAATGAGATCATTAAGCTAATCCATTGTCTGCAACGGGCATTTTTTGCAGAAACGGGAAATGTCAAAGCAAATGTTCCGATTTTTTAAAAAGTTGTAAATTGTGGTCACAGGACTGCGGGACAGTTCCAAAAGCCAGTTGCCGGGCACCCAAAATATGATCCCACACACACACACACACGTAGTCAGAGGCAGAATTCTCGATACCTGTGCTTCGCTACGAAACTATGTGATCGGGCTTAGTTTTGGGGGAGGAAAATAAGGGGGAAAATTTCTGCCTCTGCCTACCAGCATCCATCGGTATTCATCTGGCTAGCATTCTGTCATTGTGTGAGAGAATTGAAGGAAAACTGAAAGAGTATTTGCTGTGTGAGCAAGAAAGAGACAGCAAGGAGCCCGGGCGTGGCTTAGCTCAACTGTTCTGTACTAAAGCTGCTTGGTGCTCTGAAACTGAAACTCCTCTCCTCTGCTTGTGCTTTGCATTTGGAACAGATTTCTTTTCAGGTGGGGAGGTGGAGCAGAACTCCTTAGCATCAGAGCATGTTAATAATAATAATATAAGAAATGCTAATACTCTGATGGTCCTTTCGAAAAATCCTTTCTTAGTGAGCACCTAGAAGCCAAGAGGAACATACGTGCCAAATTTCAAGTTTGTAGGTTTTACAGTTCTGGAGATTTTGTGATGATCCATGAGCTTTTTTATAGATTTGGGTTTTTCTGTCATACAATATGTGCTTAACGAACAGCGCACTCTCCAGATCAATTCATTTACACCTCAATCTCCTAATTTCTACCTCTGTTGTCCGACCATTGTTTAAACATCCCAACTTCGAATATATTCTGGGTCTTCTTTTTCTTTTATCTTCAAGTGTTCATTTCTGCACAGTCCAATATTTTTTTAATTACATCATCTTCTGTAGAAGTTTCCTCGCTTTTCCAAAGTTGTGCAAATACAATTCTGGCCGCTGTTAAAACATGCAATATCAACTATATATTCTCTTTGTCATATTTCCCTGGTATTATGCCTAACAAAAATAGTTCCGCCTTAAAATCTATAATGCCGTCTTAACATTTTTTCATAACCACATATGCATTTTCGCCCAAAATCTTTTTGCCTTCGTGAATTTTGATTCTGGGTTGTAAGTGACCTTGGGGAGGTCCGTTGGTTGAGGATTACCTGTATTTTGTTCCTTTGCTGTCTCATCCGAGACTGCAGGCTCATGAATGTAGACACAAGTTAATGATTAAAGTGATGTTTAAATTGTCAGGGATCACAGCCTTCTGGAGGAATTTATTTGTCTTTAATCGCTGCACAACGACTAAGGTGCCCTTGTTAGGAAACCTGGCTAAAATAATTCCATTGTCCTTCCAAGGACTTCTCCATGCCCTTTTAAGCCAGATGTTCCTGGGTAGTTTATGGAGTCATTCCTCGCTTGGTGACTTGGTTTTTACTCCCATTTGCTGTCGTTGCTTTTTGACCAAACTTCACTTTTTTCCCACGTGTGGGAATTCTGCTACCTTAACAGATAACAGATAATCAGAGCGGGAAGGGATCTTGTAGGTCATCTAGTCTAAACCCACACCCAAGCAGGAGACCCTACACCATTTCTGACAAATGGCAGTCCAATCTCTTCTTGAAAGTCTCAAGTGATGACGTTCTCACAACTTCTGAGGGCAAGCTGTTCTATAGGTTGATTGTTCTCACTTTCAGAAAGTTTCTCCTTATTTCCAAGTTGAATCTCTCCTTGATCAGTTTCCATCCATTATTCCTTTTCTGGCCTTCAGGTGCTTTGGAAAACAGCTTGATCCCCTCCTCTCTGTGGTAGCCCCTCAAATATTGGAAGACTGCTACCCTGTCTCCCCTGGTCCTTCTCTTCACTAGACTAGCTGGATCCAGTTCCTGTAACCGTTCGTCGTATCTTTTAGCCTCCGGTCTCCTAATCATCTTGGTTGTTCTTCTCTGTACTTTTGCTAGAGTCTCAACATCTTTTTTATAGTATGGTGGCCAAAACTGGGTGGCCTTACTAAGGCTTTATAGAGTGGTATTAGTACCTCCCTTGATCTCTATTGTATCCCTCTGTTAATGCACTTTAGGATTGCATTGGCTGTTTTGGCTGCTGCTGCTGCACACTGCTGGTTCATATTTAATTGGTTTTTTGTTTCTCTCTCTCTCTCTCTCTCCTTCCCTCCCCCCTCCTCTCTCCAGGAAGAAGAATTTAAATGGCTTTTAGGAGAGGAGGTTCACTCCGTCCTTCGTCAGCTGCAAGAGATCCTGAAGGTGCTTACAAGCAAATTTGTTCTAAGGATCGGGGCTTTGTCTTGCCAGTTTTGCTGTTTTAACACTGGTCGTCCTTGACTCAACGGCCACAATTAAGCCCCAAACTCATCTTGCTAAGTGAGGAAATCCGTTAAGCAACTTTTGCCACATTTTATGACTCGTCTTGCCGCAACCCTGGCCTCCCGTTACAGCTGCCACATCATCCTGGGAAGGACACGGCTGCTTTAAAGAGCCCCAAAGAAGCTGTAGTTTTGATCTTGCCTGTGGCCGTGTGGAATGTGGCTTCCAAAGCTGACAGCCTCCTTTGAAGCTGGACTCTTCTTTCCCCATCCCCATCCTTCCTTTGCCTGCTGTGTTGTGTCCATGGGGTTGGGTGGTTTGGCTGGAATTTCTAAGCAAACTACTAATGATTTATTCATCCTATGGATCTGGCAGGCCTAGAACACATCATGAATGTGTGAGTTGAATTTAACTCACAGCAGTGAAAAGCTGTGAAGCATCTGCGGATTGCAAACGGAAGCGGGGTGGTGCTGGTGCTGGAATGGATGGTTTGCACCTTTGGCTTGGTGGGGTTTATTTGCTTTCACTCTCTTGGATTCAGGGAAAAGAAATATTTTGGAGCTCCTGATGCCTCTGGCCCTGATCCTCTTCCTTTCCTTTCTCATCCAGGAGGCTTCTCAGCGGTTCAATTTGCCAGCCAGCAGCGCAGAAGGGCCCGTAAAACAGGAGAACTTTATCTTGGGGAGCTCCAAGTAAGAATTGGACTTTATGGAGTGACCCATTTTTTCACAGCAAGCAAGAAGAAGACACGAAGACCTAGCCTAACCCAGAAAGCAGCCTGCCCAGGATGGAAGGAAACTTAGGGGTGCTTTCCCAAACCATCCCTTCCCTGCTGCAGCCTGAATTTTGTTTTTTTGCAAAAATTGGGTTGAGCTGCATTCTCTGGGTTGGGAACAACCATTCTTATGAGCCAGGGTGGCGCACTGGTTAGAGGGCAGTACTGCAGGCTACTTCTGATGACTGCCGGTTGCCTGCAGTTTGGCCGTTTGAATCTCCCCGGGCTCAAGGTTGACTCTGGCTTCCATCCCTCTGAAATGGGTAAAATGAGGACCCCGATTATTGGGGGCAAGAGGCTGACTCTGTAAACCAGAGAGGGCTGTAAAAGCATCATGAAGTGCTATTGCCATTGTCCCTCCTTCCTTCCTCTCTTAATTCCCTTTCTTATTCTCCTTCCTGGTGGAGCAGCAGTTAAAATGCAGTATTGCAGGCT